ACGCTACCACAAGGAACATGGGTGCCCGGTTATCCATCTCTATAGTTTTATATTATTAAGTCTGTTGTCTATCCACAAGAAAGTTCTTTCATTTCTATGGTGATGGGAAGAGGAAGCTGTGGTCATAAGGCTCTAGCTCAAACATATGAGACAGAATAAAAGGAGACTTCAAATATCTCCTTGCTCAGGAAAGACATATGCCATGGTGCAGAATGGAGTGTGACTTCTGAAGAATTTTATGTTCCATGAAAACTGCCCATACTTCTTGATGGATATATTTTCAAGTTGCACAGTCACTACCATACCTGCAATATGTGTATAAGCTCTCTTATGATTCTGACATTTTTATTCATCCTTAATGGTAGATGGAGCTAAAAGTGATGTATTTTTAGACATGGGTTGACTCCAGATGATGTATTTCTTCAACTGAAGAATGAGATCCTTTACAATGAGCCCTGTTGAACAGGTGCTTCTGTAATAATCAGGAGTCATGTATTTGGACTTGACTGCTCAGGGTAACCATATATATTCTTATTGGAGTGCTGAGCACTTAAAAATGTTTTACTTCATTCTTCAGTTAACAAAAATGACCCTGGGAAGTACACTGATAGCAAACAGCATTGCACCAATTATACCCTTCACTGCCTTTGATTGTAGGGTTTTCTCTTTATTAGCTTAAAAGTGAGCAATACCAAGTCCAATTCCCCAGGGCCTTTTGTGCTTCAACAAATCATGTCAAGTTGCTGACAACCAGTGAATTCATTACTCTGATTTAGAGATGGCAGTGCATGGTATGAACATTTAAGAACAACTTTGGAATCAATCGAATCTTCAAAATGTTTAAGTTCAGAATTTGAAGGTTTTCTACCTGGGTGTGCATTCTTTCTATGAGGCTCCTTTACATTCCTTCTGTACAGTAGATGATGTTTGGAAAATTCCATTTTTGATTAATGGACCTGTCTCCTGTTTGGCTTTGATTTCTGGTTCTTTCGTTCTGTAAAATTATCGTAAAGCACTCAGTTAGATCAAAATTGGGGCTGCAGAGATGGTTCAGTGGTTCAGAGTACAAACTGCTCTTGCACAGGACCTGAGTTCAACTCTTAGCTCTCATATCAGGGAGTTTAGGGCTACTTGTAACTCCAGTTCCAGGGGAAACCAAGGCCTCTGGCCTCAGTAAGAATCTGGATTCATATGAACAGACAGACACTCATACACATAATTAAAAAATATAAGGAATCTGTGAGTACATACCATGCCTATATTTTAGGGTCTGGTTACCTCATTCAAGATGATAGTTTCTAGTTTCATCCATTTTGATGAGTGTATATTAGCGAAAAATTACAAAACACCCATGATACAACCCACATGCCATAAGAATTTCAACAAGAAGGAAAGCCCAAGTGAAGATGATTCAATCCTAATTAGAAGGCAGGTCAAAATAATCATAAATAATCAGGGGAGGCAGAGAGAGGGAGGGACCCAAGTGGGAGAGGTGGGAGAAGGAAATAGGGGCAGAATCAGGTATGGAGGAGACAAGAAAGAAGCCCAGAAGGCCATGAGAATGAGTAGAAATACAAAACCATAGGTCTGGGAGTAGGATTGGGTAGGGTGACAGAAAACCATTACAAAGTCCCAGAGACCTGGGATGTGAGAGGCTCCCAGGACTCAATGAGCATGACCTTAGCTGGGTCGCCCAATAGTGTAGAAATGGTCCTTGAAGAGACAACCTTCAGTAGTTAGACAGAGCTTCAATCTACCTTCAAAATTTTTGACCCAGAATTGTTTCTGTTCAAAACAAATGAAGGGACAAAAATGAAACATCAGAGATTGAGGGAAAGGTCTTCCGGTGACCGGCCCAACTTGGGATCCATCCTATGCGTGGGCACCAAACTCTGACACTATTATTGATGCCACGTTGTGCTTACAGGCTGGAGCCTAGCATGGCTTTCCTCTGAATGGCTCTACCAGCAGCTGATTAAGACAGATGCAGATACTTATAGCCAACCATTGGACTGAGGCCCAGGATCCCTATGGAAGAGTTAGGGGAAGGACTGAAGGAGCTAAAGGGGATGGAAATCCCATCAGAAGACAAGACTATCAACTAACTGGACCTCTGGGAGCTCACAGAGAAACTAAGCCACCAACCAAAGAATATACATGGGATGGTCCATGGCCCTTGGCACATATGTATCAGAGGTCTACCTTGTCTGGCCTCAGTGGGAAAGGATGTGCCTAATCCTGTAGAGATTTGATGCCCCAGGGAAGAGGAATACTGGGAGGGATAAGGTTTCAGTGGGTGGGTGGATGGGTGGGGGGAAGCACCATCTCAGAGGCAAAGGGGAGGCAGTTTTGGGCAAAGAACTCTTGGAGGGGGGCACTGGGAAGGGAGGCAACATTTGGAATGTTAATAAAACAATTTAAAAAATAATAATAAATAAAAACAAAAAAATTGCAATTTGAATTTTTGTTTCCCATAAAGAATACATGTAACCAGAAAACTTTAAATAAAATGAATATGCTTTGGGAACAAAAAATTAAGTAATCCTTAAAAAAAATAAAATAAAAAGAAGGTCTAGAGGAAAGCAGAAACTAGAGCAGAATGACACCAGAAAGAAGAGGGCGATACTCTTTCTGTCTAAGGTCAGGACCAAGAGGTACCCAGAGAAGTGTTTAAACTTCCCAGAGGAATTATAGTCAGTGAACTTGAAAAATCTGTGCTTAGTGATGTAAAAACATTTAGAAATGGAAGGGATACCCAAGAAATTAGAAAGCTACAAAGGAGACCAAGGAAATCTGCAATGCCCTCCCTCAAACCTCTGCATGTGATACCCAGCAGAGGCTGAAGTAACCCCACAGGTGGTAATTGATCTTTTCACTGGGGAAGGGACAGAATCTGGATGTTTGCATTCTAAGGACTCCACAGCTAAAACAAATGAAAATCAGTACTCTCAGATATAGAACGAACAGTCTCTCTGCAACATATCATTTAAACAGTCGAGATGCAATGCTGTAAGATTATCATACTTGAAACAGCAGGAAATTATGACCCTTCTCCCATGATGATTCAGAGCTGAGAATCTGAGAGATTAAGAATATGAAGCTAGCGATTTTTATTGTGCTCAAAGTATAAAGAAAAATATTCATCTGATGAATTGATCTGATAAGAAACATTATAGGGAGCTGGGAGAAAATGGAGCAGATACATTCTAGAATTAAACTTTTCTAATTATTAAGTCACATTAACTGAAGCTCTTGGCTTTGGGTCCACACTTGACTAGCCCTATTAATAATCAGTCAAGGAGAAAAAGAATAACTTTAGTGGTGTTGCCTTTGCTGGGCCAAGAAGTCTCCAGTAAATAGTTCCAAATGCATGGTCACTGACAGCCCTGGTCTATATCAGTGGGACACACACACACACACACACACACACACAACAACCAATGTAGACATGAGTGTCTATATAGACATTTTCAGGGAGGGGTGGAAGGAAGTGAGAGTGACATAAGAAATTGTAGAGAAAAGAAAGAGAAAAATGTGAGCTGCAAAGTAAACTATCTGTTGTGTGGGTTTGAACAAAGACTTGAGGGGAAGATCAATAGAAATGATACTATCTGAAAAACAGAAAAAAAAACAAAAGCAAAACAAAGAAATAAACATACACACACACACACACACACACACACCCCACCTGTGAACCACAACATAACACAAGGGTACATTTTTCAAAATGGTAGATAGAAAGTAATAGATTTTTACTTATAGTCTCAGAAAACAAGAAAGAAAGGGTCAGAAAATTTATTTTTTTTAAAAAAATATAATTACCAAATATTTCCAAAATTTGTAAGAACATAAAGATTCTAAATTCAAGTAGCTCCAAGATGCTTAAGGACACTCACTGTAACGAGTAACGGATGAGTTTAAGATTTGCAACTATTTGGTATTATGGAGGGACTTTTTGGGGGACTGTGAATTTGTGGTGTGTTTGGGGTGAATACAATAAAGGGAATATAGAAAAATGAGAAAATAATAGTGAATTAGGGATTGGAAGACATGTTGCCTGCTCTGCAAACACAAGGAGCTCAATCTTGTCTCCGAGTGCCCACATGATAAATCAGGCATGGCGGCTCAGTTATGATGCCAGCGTTGGATGGGCAGAGACAAGTAGATGTTGGCATCCCTGAACAGCAAGTTGAGAGGAGTGGGTGAGACCCAGATCCCAGTGATAGGCCTGGTCTCAAAAGTAAGGGGGAGCGCTTCTAAGGAATAACACCCAAGTATGACCTCTGGCTTCCACATGGGTGCTTAAACACATGGATAATACATGTTCTCACATACGATCAATAGTATATTTTGTTCCTTTACTTAGTTTTATTGTCAACATTTTAATTGTAGTAGAATTATATCACCTCCACTCTTCCTTTCTTCCTCTCAGCCCCTCCCAGCTCTCTTCTGTGAGCCCTTCATATATCGCCCAAATCTCAAATTGATAACCTCTTCTCTTGACTTCTGTTGTTACACGTCCACAGAAGTGCACATGCATGCATGCTCGTACACACACACACACACACAAACACACACACACCCTGCGAAGTCCGAATTTTTGTTGTTTGTATGTATATGGTCTCAGGGCTGGTCACTCAGCATTAGGCTGGTTACATAATATTATTGGAAATAAACAAATCTATTAGGTAGGAAAACAGATGTGATCATTCATTTGCTATGGCACTTAAATAAATCCCAAGATTTCTTTCCTGTTGTTTTTATCTTGGAGAAATAACGAATAATTGTTTTCTTGCTGATAATTTCTATACAGACTGAAATAGCATCTGACCATTCAAGTAATCTCACACTTATATATCCCTATGCATTTAATCACTATAGTCATTTCGTAGTAATTGGCTGGCCTTCCCAAGATGAGTTTGTTACAATTTCTAATCAAAGGGCACAGAATAAAACTAAAACTTTATAACAATTGAATTTTAAAAAGGCCCCCTCTCCTAGACCCCAGCAATGGGCAAAGACCTTGTTGTTGGTGGCGATCTTATATCAGACAGGAGCAGAGCAGATGGCAGTACTTTGTTCATCCTAGCTTGATAACTGACTTGGTGGCCAAAGCTGTTTAGTGCCTAGGACACATAAAAATCATATCCAATCATCCCCAGACAGCACAGCACGGAAGAAGGAAGATAGAGACCCGCTGTTCGCCATGCCACGTGGTCCTGGAGGATGGAGGGGAGCAAGGCTCACAGACCTGCTCTCTGTCCCTTGGCACAGGCAGACTAGAGAGAGACACACAGAGCCCTGCCTACCACCATGCACCACAGCAAGGTAGGAAAGAAACAGACCTGTGGACCACCATGCCACCAACAGACCTGCCCTCCTGCACACAGCACAGGCGGGCCATAGACACCTGCTTGCCTCTAAGCTACACAGCATGGATAGAAGCCACCTAGGGACCTGCCAGCATGTGGCTAGCCTGCGGCAAGAGACACCATAATGTTCAAGTATGTGGTAGGCAGAAGGGAGAAAAAGAGAAACGAAGCAGCTTGAGTGTTATGAAGAGTGATGGAACTGGAGACTTGTGGGTGGAGAGGAGTAGGCTGTGGTGTGTGGTTAACCCACCAACTGTGGCCATGGTGAGGTCCCAGCCTGAGCTGCTCCTGAGGGCCATGTTTGGGTCGAGCAGCAGAGGCAATGTCTATGGCTCACATTATCACTAGAGAACACGGGATGCTAGTGGTATAGGTAGCCCTGGCACGACATGGATATCCAGGGGCTGTACAAAACTGGTCCTTCCCCTCAAAGGCTGGGGTGCTCTGGCAAGCTGGCCCTACTTTTCACACATGGCAACACTCAGGTGAGTGGAGAGAAGGCCCTGAGCCTGGACCTGGCCGCACAGTGGGGCTGGCTGGAGGGGATAAGCCTGGGAGTACATCTCCCTAGTCACACAGTAAAGGTAGTCTTGGTCGCTAAGGAACAGGTGAACCAGCCCTGAGGGTATGAGAATGAGGAGAGCTGTCTAACCACCTCCCCACTCCCCAGGCTGTAGCATTTGAAGAAGTGGATCCACACCTTGACTGAGCAGCAGAGTGGAGCTGGCTCTGGCAGAATGGGTGTGGCTGAGCTGTTCCAAGATCATAAGAGCAGAAGGGTTGACCCTGCCTCCTGCTGCTGGCAGCATTGGGTGACCTAACTAGAGAAGTGCTGGAGAGCTGGGCCCTGGTGGGGGTTCTAAGGAAGAGCCAGCAGGCTGACCAGATCAGCTACCACCTAGGCCCAGATCCAGGGATCTGAGTTGATCCACTCCAAAATCTATTATCATCTACAAACATTTAGGACTGTGAACAGGCCAGTCCTGCTGATCAAAAGCTGCAGAATCTTTATGACACAGGGCAATAACAGGATAATCAGGTAGAGTCCTGGTGAGGACCCAATATTGATGGTGTCACAGAAGCCAGAGGCCTTGAACCAGACAAATGACTCATTGCAATAAACATTTGCAAGTGAAGATGTGTGGACAGAAAGGTACTCTGTGGAACACACTCTGACATACTATAGCCTCCATGATGATGTTTTTCTATGCTTGTGTATGTGTGTGTGTGTGTGTGTGTGTGTGGGTGTGGGTGTGTGGGTGTGTATGTGTGTGTGGCGTTTTATTTTGGGGGGAGTTTGCAAGAGTGAAGGGCAGATATGAGGAGGCAGGAAGATGAGTAAGAAAATAGAAATCAAAATCAGACTACCATGCAGGCATCACACTATCAAATCTCGCTGTTAGTACAGACACTTAATGGGTAAACAGTTTGGGGTACCACTCTGCTTCGCTAAGATGAAACCATGCCATGTGCCGTGTAAGAGTAATGATGTGAAACTCACAAATCAATTACATTTTTTTTTAAAAGAAAAAGAGGTAGCCACAAGGACAGATTCTTTTCACTTCAAGAATTTTAGAAGAGTATCTGGAAAGCTATGCTTGAAATGCAAGATGGGGCATTCTTTTCTTAATTTCTTTATAATAGAAAGCTTTACCTCTTGACAGAATACTGTGTCTTTTCTACAGTGTTGATAAGGAGCTTGAAAATGACTGTCTCATTAATATTTTGCCTGACATAGGTGAGACTACAGTCCCATGGTTTCTGATGAGATGTCCAAGTGATGTCATATCTGTTCCCAAGGTAAGCTCAGTCTTCAAACATGAGGGACACTATAAGACAATACCCCTTCCTAGCAGGTCGTATTCTCAGAGCTTAAAATCAATTAGGACCTCATTGACACTTGAATCTTCTCTCATGGTCATTAACTTTGAATCTTCCAACTTCAAAGAGAACATGGTACATGGCATGGTCTCATCCCATGGAAGCAGAGTGGTACTCCAAACTGTTTACCCATAAGCACCTGTACTAACAGCGTGATTTGATAATGTGATACCTGCATGGTAGTTTGACTTTGATTTCCATTTTCAGGTTTGTCTTCTTTATCAAAGTTTAGTTCTTACCTAATTCTGAAACCAGAAATTCAGGCCTGGTGACTGCATTCAAATCTGTCTTTCAAACTGCTTCAGGCTAGCTTTAGCTGATTTGGTAAATGTCCTATAAGGTAAATTAGCATATTTAAAACTAGCCAATCTTTCCCCAAAGCTGACCTCAAGCAAAGCATGCTTAACATTAAGAAGGCATTCTGGCACTGAGTATTGGAAGCATCCTGGGTTTAGATCTTGAACTGGATGATCTCAAGACAGATGTCCACCTGTTGTACTATATCCAACTTAGAATAGAATAATAGTGATTAGGGAGTTGGCTGAAATTTTTCTTGCTCATAGTCATTAATTTCTACAAAATCTTTCTTTTTTATATAGCTACTAGGATTGTCTTAAAGACCCAGCTGTAAATACTCTTATCTATGGTTTATAACATTTCTGTGAGAGGCTCTAAAAGAAAACAACCTGGAAATTATGGGGAGAAAATGTAGAAGCAGTCTATCATATTGATAACCCTGAAAGAAAGAAAAGGTTAATGTTCCAATGTTTTCAGAACCAGAAGGACAAGTCACTTTTGAAGGTCCTGCGTACATTCACGGAGAGGCTGTGAGAATTTCTGTGCCAGTCAACAAGAAGCAATACACTGAGAGAGTACTTTCCTTCATGTTTAACTCATCTCGAAGTCCAAAGTATATATTATTATTTAAAGAAATATTCCAAAGGAAAACAGAACAATATATTGGTCAAGTCTACCAAGCAGTAATCATGAACAATAATATAACAGGTAATGTGGTGACCCTTTGTCTAGGTTCATTTATTCTAACGCTGGGTGTGTCACAGACAAGTAATGAGATGGTTGCTCCAAAAAGTCTTGAAAAATTTCAAGATTAAAGTCCCAGGAACTTTGGTGTGTGGGGAGGGCACTTCACCATCCCTAAGGTGGCATCTTGTTCTGAAATTGTCAGAGGAACAAATGCTACCCTTTCACATGCTGTATGCGACAGCAAGAAGACATTGTTCCACTCGGCCTTTGACTCTAGCAAGAGCCTCAGTTCCATTTATAACTTAATCATCTCCCAAAACTTATGTCTTCTTACTAGTGCCCTATGGGTTAAATTCTATCATGGATGTCAGAGGGCAAGCTATTATTCCAACAGCAATGTCTTAGTTTAGGAATGAGTAGAGAGGGTAGCCTCCTGTGTTCTCTTGCATCTGGTCAGGAGAAGTGGGATCATAAGAAAACGTAGCAGGTTAAAGTTGTAGAGTGAAACTGAGGTTCCATCCAAATTGGAAAATGTACTTTTCTCTTCCTAGTCACTTACAGTGAGTGACTGACAGTCTCTTTCTATAGTTCTCTTAACATATCTTGAGTGACTAAGTCAGTTACTGACTCCCTCAAAACTTCTATTAATGCAGATGCACAAACTCTTATATCTCAGGAATTATATTTTTCATTATAAATTCTCCAGATATAAGCAGAAATCTCAAAAATTTCCAGATGAGACAATATATATCTAAATTTGTAAAAAGCAGAATCTAATGCAGAAGCAAGAATATTTTCTAAGTATCATTTATTTGAAAATTTTGAAGATTTTTTTTATTTTTAATAGTTTTATTACAACTAATTTGGAAATAATTGAATAAGTAGAGTAATGAAATTTAGGAACTAGGACTGATCACGGGGTCCCCAATGGTAGAGAGAAGACTGAAGGAGCTGAAGGGGCTTGCAGTCCCATGGGAAGAGTGACAATAACAACCAACCAGAGCTCGCCAGCCTAGGAAAATGCATGGAGAGACCCATGGCTCCAGCTGTATATGCAGTGGAGGATGGCCTTGTCAGGCATTGGTGGGAGAGGAGGTCCTTGGTCTCGTGAAGGTTGGATGCCCTAGTGTGGGGAAATTTGAGGGCAGGGAGGGGGAATGGGTGGATGGGTGGGGGAACACCCTCATAGAAATGGTGAGAGGGGGGACAGGATAGAGATTTCCTGGTGGGGGAGATGAGGACAGGGGATAACATCTGAAATGTAAATAAGTAGAATATTCAATAAAAAAATCATTTAAAAAATAGGAAAGATTTTTTTAAATTGAGTTAATATATAAATATTTTTAGTGTGTGTGTGTGTGTATGTGTGTGTGTGTACACTCGTGTGCCCGTGGAAGTCAGAAGAAGGTACTGGATTCTTTGACACTGGAGTTACAGGTACTTGTGAGACACCTGACATCAGTGAGGGAACTTAACTCAAGTCCTCTGGAGGAACACTAAATGCTCTTCACTTCTGAGCCATCTCTCCAGCCCCTAAAAGTTTAAATTTATAAATGACAGGATCATGTTTTAGATGTGTTTTTTTTTTTCATGAGCAATGTGAGCATCTGCTTTTGTTAAATTGACACAAACTGTGGACAGGGCCTCAACTGAAGCATTGCCTGAGTTTGATTGATCTCTGGGCACATCTTGAGTGACAACCAATGTGGGAGGAATCAGCCTACCCTAGACAGTGCCACCATAGGAAAGGCAGTTGCAAGTCCCAGGTTGTACAAGAAGAGTAACAACAGGTGAAGTCAAGTAACAGCAAGTGAAGCCAGCTGGTGAGCAATGTTCTTCCATAATTACTTCTGATCCTGGTTGAGTTCTTATCCTGACTTCCCTCAGTGATGGACTATGATG